GAAACTCGCTTACTTAATAATGTTGTTCACAGGGTTGACACCTTTTACATGAATATAAACTCCAAGATAAAAAATATCCAATTTTTGAAGATGAACGAGGGCTGTTACTGTGAATATAATTTGAGCGAAAGCCGTATGAAATTCCAAGTTTTTGAAAATGTAAAACGCTAAAGAGGGTCAAGGACAGAAGAATATTAGTCCAGTGTACAGGATCTATAGTAGAACAGAAACTCTGTCTCTATGTAAACTCCTCGATGAACGAACGACTAGGCGCAATCTGCGTTAAGGCGAGACTAAAGCGGGAGCTGTCAGAAACATCAGATGTCGGTGTTGATGTTAGAAGCTGAAGTAAGTGAACTGTAAGAGAGTTCCATCGGGAGAAAAGCAGTCACAGGGTAAACAGAAAATATTGTGTTATCACAATTTGACAACCACTTTGACCTATACTTACCTAGATTAATGTTTGCGCTGCTGCATTTGGCTGAAGAAAAAGACCACGAGACTTAGTATGCTTGCTACGAGCTCCAGGAAAACTCTTATGAGCCATCACATACGAAAATCATGCTAAAAGTGATTAACAGTGTCTGTTATTCTCAGCCCAAGTTTCCGCGCTCGAGTCCCGATCCGACCAACATTCAAAATTTTTGAAAATTAATTGCTGTTCCGCCTCGGCTGGGAATGCCAAGCCCTCCGAGTGAATTTATGACATGAACTGGAAAAGCTACTCATAAAAATCCATCGGACGTTCGGAGTCATCTTGAAATGCACTTAAATTAAAGACAGCTTTTGGAAAAATATTAAGACACAAACCTAAAAACTAGAGGAAGAGCTCGACCTTCAAGCAAAAGAGGTACTTTTTCGCATATGCGATGAGCCCGACTCCGATGGGCTCCAAAATATGGCAGTGCGTAAGACTAGGAAGGGCAGAAACAGAATTAAAAGTTAAATATTTCAAAGTGTTTCTTAGTTAACACTTGAATGATGCGCTCAATCGAAGGCAACTCAATATGAAGCTAATGAATGTAAGTAAGTATGTATGTATGTATGTATGTATGTATGTATGTATGTATGTTATCTTAAGTTGGTTGCCACTTTAAGCTGTTTGTTTGCTTGCCACAAAACCACTTTCACACAGTATGTGACAAACTCAACACAACAACAACTTGTTCAACTGTACATATATGCGCTTGAGTGTGTTTTGGATGCGTCAGTAGCGTAGAACTCTTTGGCTGAGTATCGCGCAATTGACAAGCGTTAAAAGTGACGCATTGACGACGCCAACTTAAGGTGAAGTGGCAGGAATAAAGAAGACGACTTACTACTACTCTTGCAACATGCTTTGGTAGATATTATATATACAGATATAGATACATACATATATGTATATGTTTGTGCATACATGTGTTTCATATGTTTGTATGTATTTGTCTGTATATTTCGCAATTGGCTTGTATTAATGACTTTATGCCGACAGCGCATCAGTCAACTTACATACATACATATGTATTTGTAAATATGTATATTTATTTGCTTGACAGTTGAATTGTCACATTTTGAAGTGTTTGAAAATCGTGTGCTTCATCGATAACATCGACAGTTAGATAAATATTTGATTTGTGGCACAAGTAAAGGGATACTTGAAATTTATACAACAACAACACAAAAGAGAGATAAAGGTAGACAATCGGTTGTGACAGCAAGTAAAATATATACATAATTATATGTACATACATTTCATTTTCAGTTTACTTACACATATGTATGTATATATGTACATACATACATACCTGCGCATACACATATATTAAGTAAATTAATATTATATTTACTTGCAGCAAATAACAGAGAAAATAATAATGAATGCAATACACGCACACATATGCACACATACACACATATTTATTATTTATTCTGCTTATCATTAATATTTGTCAAATATAAATATGTATGCAACATTAGCCAATAGCAACATCAACCACATTTGCTCACAATTACAACAACACAAAGCATTTAAGCAAGCAAGGAGGCATGCTTTTACAACAACTTCCTTCTGCTTGGCATACAAACATTTCATATGAATGTTTGCATGTATATTTTTTTTTACTGATATGCTTACGCTAGGCTATGTAAACGCTCCATTTCAAGTGGTGGCAAATATTTGCTTTTAACGCATTTTGTAAATAGAAATACCGGAATTTATTTTCAACCGCCTTGTTGTTGTTGCTCTTATCAGCATTTGTTGTTTTTGACTTTATTTGTGCTTCAGTGGAACTTAAAAGATATGTTAATATGAATGGCATAAATAATTGGAGTAAAGCGTATAAAATTTTTTCGAAATTCTTTAAGTGAAGCAATAAATGTTTTATGAAAAAATTTATTTTAATTAAATAAATATAAAATTTTATTTTCAATATTTTTTTAACACACCTCCTTCCTTTGTGTTAAAGTTTTCTCATTTTATTTATTTCTGTATATTATTTTATTTCATTTTATTTTATTTTATTTTATTTTATTTTATTTTATTTTATTTTATTTTATTTTATTTTATTTTATTTTATTTTATTTTACTTTATTATATTTTATTTTATTTTGTGTTATTTTGATTATTTTTTTTTTATTTTATTGTATGTTATTTTATAATAATTATTTTTTTCCATTTTATTTTATTTCATTCTTTTTATTTTGTTTATCTTATTTTATATTATATTATTTTTTTCTCAATTTTTCATTTTAATATATATATTTTAATTTTATTTTATTTCTTTTACTTGGTTTTTTTATTTATTTCATTTTATTTAATTTAATTGGATTTTATTTTATTTCACTTTATTTAATTTAATTTTATTTTAGTTTAATTTAGTTTATTTATTTTTTTTTTGGTTGACTAAGTTTAATTCATTCTTCTTTTATTTAATTAAATCTAATTTTTTTTTATTTTGGATTTATTTAATTTTACTGAATTTTATTTAATTTTTTTTAATTAGTTTTATTGTAATTTAGTTTAATTTAATTTTAATTTATTATTTTATTTCATTCAGTTTTTTGTTACTTTCGTTTTATAATTTTTTTAATAAATTTTTTATTTAAATAAAAATAATACTTTTTAATTAAAGCGAATATAAATATACAATTAAAATTTAAAGCTTATTTGTTATCTTTTTATTTATTAAAAATATATTTTTTCTATTTAAAACAATTATTTACAGAAAGTTAAAATAAAATCTGTGAATAAAACGAAACTATTTAAGGAAACTATATATATATTCAGCAATATTTTTAAAAATACCGATTATAAATTAATTTTTTTTAGTTCTGCTCGATAACTTTTTTATTATAATTTTTTTTAATTTTAATTTTAAAGGTATTTCTTACTTTTATTTTAAATGTATTAATAAAAAATGGCAACATTCGATTTTCACAAACTTGCCTTGACGCCAATTATGTTTAAGAACCTCCCAACCAAGCTATAGAAACGTCTGGCGAGTCTCTATTGATATGTGTGTTCGTTTTGTTTTACTGAGGAAAGATGATTCTGTTGCTGTTGGCCAAAGTTGGAATCTACTGCTAGCATTACAGGTCCTTGCTGGCTCTATGGGAGCAGTTCCTGGTGAATGATTCTTTGTCAATCTCACCAAACACACAATAAAACTTTACTGGCTTCGAGACCGTTTCTGCGCCCTCACTGCTCTTCGGCCACGACCGTTTCATTTGACGTTACTGGAAGTCGCTGATTTCATTTCAACCAGCTAACATTCGCTTCAGAAATGTGTCGCTTGTGGCATCGCTATATCGAGCTTTCTTGTGGTTTCATACTGTTTTATGTGAAATAATTAGCACCTGGGAAATGGAAACAGTCCGCATATGATCTGATCATCATCGGGTTGGGGTGTTATATTGGAGAGGCTTCAGTTGGATTCTGGTTAGACCAGGTTTCATCGCCCAAGCTTGCCCATCTTAGAATAATATGATGCGATTGTAGAGTTTGGTGTTTGCTTGACGAGAATGATTCTGCTTTAGAATTCGAGGTTGATTTTATTGTTTTTGTTGATGCTGATTTCTAAAGATGCAAGATTTTTACTATGAACAGCCACTGCTACACTTATTCGCTTCGCTATTTGGTCCATTCTAGAGAATACACAGGATTTTGTCAATATCAGCGATTGTAGAAGAGTTCACCTTGCCACGAATTCAGGACTTGAACCAAGTATCTTCTATAGGAACCCACCATTAAAAAAAATCAGCTACAATAAAAAATAGAGACACCAAACCAAGGATGAGATAACTCTTTGCGATGGCCTGGAATGTCTGGTCTATTAATTGGGAAGCTGTCGCTAACCAGCTGGTGGACGAACGAATGATGTCGAAGCCTCCCAAGACTCAACCAAAACAGAAGAAGGTGAATTTTTGCAAAATCTGCTCTGTCTAGGGTTACGGAATGGGTCAAAAATTTGGTATTTATTTTGTGGTGGGAAAGATAAGATAGTCTTTTCCTTCATCAACGTTTAAGATTGTAGATTCGTCATCTGTTCTTTGGGTTCTATATCAATATGTTGCGATGTTAAGACCTAGTAAGTGGACTCATCTTTTCGGGAAATTTTCAAACATTACTCTGTCAGTCAAGCTCGCAACGATCTCTTTCTTTTTTTTCTGCAAGTGGATATTGCTTCCCTCTTCAGCTCTCGGTGGTTCTCCCGCACAGCGATCGATCGCAAAGTTTCGAGTTAGACTTATGTATATATGTATAATATCTACTCTAGAATTTTCGGCCAAACCACAATTGGGTTTCATTAGTCAAATGTGAGAAAATTACTGATAATATTTAATCTGTAAGTCAGTGCAGACAAAAGCTGGTCTCAGTAATGGGCTAAACCCTTTGAAATATAATTCAGAATCCAAATTGTCTCTTGTATATATCTATAATCAATATAATATTCTACTTAATTATAAAATATATTTTGATTTCTCTGAAACAATCCACACATTTCATTTTCTCTTTCCAGGCGACATACTCTCCGGCGTCTGTTTTGTCGGCCAACTGGACACACACTCACTGGGTGTCTTCCTCATACTGCCACTTTGCATTTATCTCTCAATCGGTGCACTCTTTTTACTCGCCGGTTTTGTGTCACTCTTTCGCATACGCACCGTTATGAAAACAGATGGCAAGCGTACGGATAAACTGGAGCGACTCATGATGCGTATTGGTTTCTTCTCGGGTCTCTTCATATTGCCAGCGCTCGGCTTTCTCGGCTGCCTCTTCTACGAATACTACAATTTCGACGAATGGATGATACAATGGCATCGCGACATCTGCAAGCCCTTCTCCATACCATGTCCGCAGCAACGTTCAGATGGCTTGGAGTCACGACCGATCTTCCAGATTTATATGGTCAAATATTTGTGTTCAATGTTGGTGGGCGTAACGTCCAGCGTGTGGCTGTACTCGGGTAAGACGATGGTGAGTTGGCGAAATTTCGTGGAGCGACTGCAGGGAAAGGATCCGCGTACGCGTGCTCAGGCTTATGTTTAGTTTAATTTAAATGTGGCATTAGTTGTGTAAGTGTAGACAGTTTTTAAGTGTGTTTGTGTGTGAGTGTGTATGTTTGTGTGTATTTATAAGTTGTGTAAAATGTTAAAAAACTATGTAAAATTGTACGTCTTAAACTTCCAGTAAAATCAGTGCTCATACATATAAGGCATTAACTCAAACGCGAACCGCTCAGCATCTATTTGAGCTCATAGATTTGAGTGAAAACCAAAATTTAATTTTAAGCGCAAACTAAAATTACTTTAAAATTCGTGTAAAAATATAAAAAAAAAATCCTACGCAATGAGATTATTTCGTTCGTTTATGAGGGTGTTTGAGTGCTTTAATAGGCATTGAGTGAGTGTTAAATGTATATTTGAGTAAAACCTCTAAGTAATTTAAATTTAAATTAAGAAACTTTTGAGTGCAAATGTTCAAATACAAATGGTGTGTTAAAAAGCTCAGCGATTTCTGAATTTTATAAAAAAAAATTTATATATATATATAAATCAAAATTAATTCATTAAGTAAATTATTTCTAAGTTTCGAGTGCTTCTAATGTATGTACTAGTGTTTGTAAAAATTTTAAACAAAGTTCGTACCAATTAATATTAAGCGACATCAATTGTATTTAGTTTATAGTTTAAAAAGCTTTACATGTGCCCTAAAATCTAGCTGTAAAACTAAAAAAAAGAAAATATTTTCGCATAGGAAACGGCAAGTTGTTGAAGAGTTTGGCAAAGATGAAGGTTAAAATAATTTTCTGAAGCAAAAAAGGAACCAAAAAAATCTACTTTCGTAGTTTGAAAAAAAAAATTTTTTCTTACACCAAAAAATATATATTACGATTACTTCAATTTAATTAAAGCCATTTTCAATCTGACCTAAACAGCTCAACGACCTTCCGTTTCCTATAACGAAATTTGCAAAGAACATAAGTTCTATTAAGTAAATATAAAAAAAAGCTTCTACTACAAAGAACCATAAGAAAAACGTCCTCCATGTGCTAAATATAACGAAAGAAAACTAAAGGTTTTAAGAAAAAAATTAAATAAAAAAACAAGAACAAAATAAAATAACTATAACTTAATTGGTCAAACAAAAAACAAAGAAAACGGTAAAAATGAAATAATTAAATTGAGTAAAATAAATTAAAATAAAAATATAAAATAAATGAAACTAAATAAATAAAAATAAATATGCTTAAATAATATAATAAATTAAATAGAACCAAATACAAAAAGGTAAACTGAATTAAATTATAACAAAGTATTTATAATATAATATAATAAAATAAAACAAATAAAATTTAAATAAAACAAAATTAAAATATTTAAACCATAATTAAAATATAAGTAAAATATAAAAGGAAAAATAAAATAATAAAAAATAAAAACACAATAAAATAAATAAATATAAATTAATTAAAAGGAAATCAAAAATAAAATAAGAGAAAATTAATAAAAGAAAAATAAATCCAAATAAAACAAAATGAAAAAATAAATAAGAATTAAAAAATGCAATTCAATAAATTAAAATAGTAAAAAATCAAATAAATAAATTCAAATAAAGTGAATCAATTAAAAATGCTAATAAATAAAAAATAAATTCAATTAAAACAAAATACATAACAAAAAAAAGTAGAAATTATTTCAGTAAATAAATTTAAATAAAATGATATATTAAAACAAGGAAAATTAACTAAAATAAAATAAAATATTCGAAATTAAATAAAACCAAAAAAAAAAAACAAAATAAAACACAGTTACCAACAAAATAAAAATAACACAAAAAATTATAAAATAAATGTAATTAAACAGAATAAAATTTAAAATAAAATTTCAAATAACTAAAAAAAAATTATAAAATAAATTTACAGAAAAACATAAAATAAACATAAAAAATTAAGGTAAAAATTTAAATTTGAATAGAAAATAAAAAATTAATATGAATATAATTAAAACGAAATTTAATAAAAAAAAAAACTTAAATCACTTAAAATAAAATAACATGAAATAAAACAAATAAAAATAAAATGAAACAAAGGAAAATACAATAAAATAAAATAAAATAAAATAAAATAAAATAAAATAAAATAAAATAAAATAAAATAAAATAAAATAAAATAAAATAAATAAAAAAAAATAAATTAAATTAAATTTAAAAACGAATGTAAATTAAATTAAATATAATTAAAAGTTAAATTAAATGAAAAATTGAGGGTAAATTTTAATAAAAAAATTGTATATTAATATACTAAGTATAATGCAAAATTATTAATATAAATTAATTTAATTTAAATTGAAAAAATAATAAAATAGACATAAATTAAAAAATAAATAAAATAGAATAAAGTAAAAAGAAGTAAAAACCAAAATAAAGTGTAACGGCTTGAAAGTAAAAAAATTAATAAAAAATAAAATTATTTAAATAAAATAAAATTAATTAAATAAATCAAACAAAACAAAATAAAAATAATAAAGTAATGCAAAAAGATGAAAATGTTATAAAATAAAAATATAAATTAAAATAATTTAAAAGATAATTTAAAAGATGAAAAGAAATACAATAAAATAAATTGGTATTTTTTAAAAAAAATAATAAAGATTGAATGAAATAAAATTTAAATAAATAAATTGAAATAAAAAAACGAAAAAACTAAAAAAAACTTAAAAATTACTGTCAAGTAAGCTTACGACATAAGCGTCTGCATGTTTAAATATAAGTAAAAAATATTTGAGAAATATAAAGAAGTACTAAAGAAAGGTAATATATTTAAAAGTATTGTAAATTAGTTAAAGGCAAATAGATATTTATATTGCATTAGAAACATTCATTTGATTTTTGCAGCAATGACGTTGTAGTCATATATTTAAGTTTTTCTCGCTCAAAATGTTAAAAAATATTTATACAAACAACTTTTAAATTCATAAAAATGTAAATTTTTTAACTACATAAGTACTGAAATTAACACTTTTTTGAACAAAAGGCACACTATGCACAATATTTGTATGAAACACAAAATTAAATACTATAATTAAACTGCCATTGATACAAAATTTTTATGAAAAATGCAAAAAAATTTCAAAATTTTTAATAACTCTGCAGAAAAAAAAAATAAATAAAAGAAAATTACTTTTGTACAAAGTAAAGTTTAATTGATGAGACAAATAGAGAATATTTTTTTTGCTACATAAACTATTTAAAACAAAAAAAACGATTTGCGTAATTTGGTTTGAGTTTCCGTTTATTAGTACACAGTCAATGTCTTAACAAGTTTATACATATTTATAATGAAACAGATTTTTTTCTCATATTTTCAACTCAATTTTTCAATTTTTTTCTGAATTTGTATTTCGAAATAGTTTTATAAATTTTTTGTCGTGCTAGTTGGAATTTTACTCCAACATTTTTTTTTATTATTTGTAAAAATTGCTCTTCATTGTTGTAAAAATATGCAAATTTAACCAATTTCATTATGCATATGTACACATAATATTAATATTAAGCAAATGAAAATGCATGAAAATAAATAAATAAATTAAATGTATTGTTAAAGACTGAAAAAATGTGCAATTTTTTCCAACTGTTTGGTAGTGAAATATAAAATGGTAATTATTATTGGCTTTTTATAAGTAAATCCACTGGTGTTAATTTTATTTTTCGAATTTTATTTTATTATTGGAAAAAAGTTGAAAATATTTTTTTAGTTTCAAATAGGTTTTTTAGTAACATAGATTTATAAAGAGTAGAATATTTAATGCATTTACAGATTTGAGTCTGAAAATCTTATACCGACCTTACTCCATCACATATAAATGCCATTTTGGGCTCAGTACACAATTATTAATAATAATTAATCCACAGCTGGAAATTCATTTCTATTCCATTTTGCAAATTTTCATTAAACTACAAATTGTAGTTAAGCATCATAAAGCCTACATTAGTAGTATTATCAGTAATTCAGTAAGCATCCACCAAAAGGTAACCACAAAAGGTAACCACAAAGGCAGTGCAACCACAACTAAGAACGTAGTATTTGCTCATAATATAAAGCCTTTGATCGTACACTCGTAGTCGCCTTACTTTATGACCTTAATAATGTGCCGAGACGGGCAACAACATAAAGGAGCGTAAAGAAAGGGTAGTACAACTCACATACCTGCAGACATATATACATACATATATATTTTTATATATACATGTACAATATATATATTTAATAATATATATGTATATGCATCAACACAATAAGACATACTTAACTGTGAGAAATTTCCACAGACAGTCAACCCTACACAGCAGTAGATTCAGTGACCGCAAATCCTTTTGATACCCATTTCATTGCTACTATCGTCTACTCAGCTGGATTTTCGTAGTTGCAAGCTAAGGAAATAAATATAAGAAAAGCATTTCAGTGTCTTAAAGATATATGTAAAGAGTTTTAGTGGCTTACATCTTACCCCAGAGCTTATGCTTAAGACGGTTGTGTGTTTGGGCAGACTTAAAGCTTTTTCATTGGAGTGTCTGGTCTGCATATATGTTTAAGTATTTGTTTATAGCATAAATTCACGCGTATTTTGTTAACCAACTAACAAATGCACCTTAATTATAGCAAAGTTTTGATGAGATAAATATATTCGCCGAACGAATTAAAATTATGTTTCTTATGTGCAAAAATTCATTGGAGATTCCCATAGAGACGAAAGTTTGTATGAAATCAAATTATTTATTTTTTATCGAAATTTTCTTACTATAAGTGTAACAACAAGTAAATACTAATAAGTATTTTCCTCAATTTTATTTTAATTTTAGTTAGGCATAAATTTCGCTTTAATCAAAAAAACTTCAATCGATTCGGTTGAAATATTTAGAAATGTTATCGTTAGAACAGTTAACAACAATTAATTCCATTTCGTTTTTAACCGAATGGAAATGCTGTTAAATCATTAACAGCTGGTGTTAAATCGTTAACAGAGAATGTTAAATCATTAACAGCCAGTGTTACATCGTTAACAGATGATGTTAAGTCATTAACAGCTGGTGTTAAATCGTTAACAGCCAGTGTTACATCGTTAACAGATGATGTTAAGTCATTAACAGCTGGTGTTAAATCGTTAACAGAGAATGTTAAATCATTAACAGCCAGTGTTACATCGTTAACACACCATGTTATAGGTTAAAATTGAAGTGCGCTGTTATTAGCATGGCAGACAGCCCTTTTAAGATTAGCGTTAACAAAATGCGTATATGAAAAACCAAAATTCTTTTTTTTTATATTTTTAAAAATTAATATTTAATTAATTAATTTTTTGCTGCAATTTCAATATCTCCCTTGATGGTAGGTGTGGGGATATTTTCATTACTTTTGGCAATACTTGGCCTGTACAGTGTGGATTCGTTCAACTCCACTTCTACAGAGTCTGCAGTTCAGCAGGTTCCCCATGCATTGTAACCTGGCAAACTCTACAATGCTGTATGGAGTTGAAGACCATTTAAGAATTTCGAAGATTTGTATGTTGCTTTCATTACAAAAAAAAAATACAAAAAAAAAAAAAAAAAAAAAAAACATAAAATCATTTTCTCAGACCAGACATTAATACACACCTACAACAACGACTTTTCACATCAATATTAAATGAACTCAACATATTTCGTCCATCAGAGAGTACAAGAACTACA